CATGCTTAGTGAGTGGTAGCCCAAATACCCCTGTGTCTTTTATTTATTTTCACTTTTGTGTGTTTGTTTTTTCTCCAGATATATTTTCTTACAGACCAACATATGAATTTTCAGATGTCAGCAAACGGAAAACTGAAACAGGTATTTATGATACACCAATGTAGTGAAAAATGAATAAAACTAGAATTTTTACTGTAACCTAGGTGTTGTGTGACAAAGATCTCACAGAAATCATGAAGTCTTGGATGAAATAAGTGCAATTCAACGAATAATGTAGTTCACATTTTGCAATTTTTCTATGGACCCCCCCCCCCCCCAGTGCATCAGTTATGTGACTTAACTGGAGCAAATTGTTTATTAGAAATCATGTTATAAAAATAAGGGGGTCCCCTATTGGCCTAAATAGTTGTCTTTATTATTTGATAGCCAATCAAAAGCAGTTTTATAATTTAACAATAATTTTCATGAGCATAACCAAATTCTGCTGTTTTATTCAGAACAGAATAATTTGTGTAACGCAGAAAAAATTTCAAATTGAGAATGAGTAAAATTCTGTTTTGTGTTTCTAGAAAAAGAACGAGAGTTATCACCAACGAGAAAGGCTGCCGTAGGGTCAGGGTAAGTACTAAGAATAGTCTGTCTGAATACTCATGTCCTTTTCAGTTTATGAGTATCCTATAAACTTCTGAACAATTTGACACTTGGAGTATGGTTAATACAGTTGATAATTTATTAAAGATTTCACTTTGAGAACCTGTATGATTAATACATTTAATAATTTATTGAGGTTTGCACTTTGAGAACCTTTATGGTTAATGAATGCAGTTAATAATTTATTAAAGTTTGCACTTTGAGAACCTGTATGGGTTAATAAAGATAATTCATTAAAGTTTGTCACTTAAGAACCTGTATGGTTGAAGTTAATAATTAAATAACTGTCCCAGCAGCAGTGGATTATCAAACTATGACAACTGGTTAAACTAACAATTGTGAAGTCTTTTGGTTAGATTTGCCTAGTTAATATAAAAAGAATAATCATACCTCAAATATGTATTATTATCGTAAAGGTATTCATTTTCACTTTTTGATAGTTGATAATATTGACTGGGTTTTTATTTAATTCATGTTTTTTCCAGTGAAAATATAAGTTCTACTGTCATTTTACATTTTTCTTATGGATTTAATTTAGTTGATTTAACTTATCAGCAAAAAATGGTAAAATTAAAACCCCAAGGAATGTGTCTTTACACAACAGTAAAAAAATTATTAGTTAACCGATGTCTGAAAATTAATTGGCTTAGATTGGAATTCAGTTTGTGTTAAAGTTTTATGAAGAAATAAAAACACAATCACAACTTGCCATAAAAGTATTAGTTACATTCATAGTAATGAATGTATCAGATACATGTCTGTATTAATTTGAATGTGATTATAAAGTCTCCATTTCATTGAAGCACTAATGTCGGAGTTTGAGACATTAAGGAATGCCTTTAGATAATTTGAAGTATACTACTGTGTCGAACGAGGCTGATTGAGTGATTGTCGTAACATTCAGAATATTTTTTTAATCAAAAAAAAAATTTTCAAAAGAAATAGTTTGTTATGGTGTCAGGTGACCACTAAAGTACAAGCCGCTGGTGTTGTTTATATAAATTTACATCTTGTGTTTATCAAGTAAGCATTTCAGAGTCGTCTACTCTGGTAACCTAGGTAATAAATCACTATGACAACCCACTAGTCTGTCTGGGTCTTTCCATTCACAAACCTTGATAAGAATGGAGAGAAGGATAAAACGCAGTAAGAGGCTAAACAGGAAAAGGTGATAGCTAATTTCTTTTATTCATCTTTTTGGGGGGTTTTATGTAATTTCCACAAATTAACGATCTTCTGGGAAGCTTGAGGCCTATTTGAGGTTTCACTTATTGTATGTCATAAACATTGAATTTGACTTGTGATGGACAAGATCTACTAGTTACGTGATGCAGACTGGTGATGAAAATGTGTGGCAAAGATGTATTCTCACATTTTAATTGCAACATCTGTTTTTTTTACCCAAATTTAACTTTGAATCAGAATGACAGAATTTGATATTGTTTATAGATAAGTATATATTGCAGGATTCCTCTTGCAAGAACAAGAATATGATCAATGTTGATCATTTTCGTGAAAGGGTTTGCAGTGTGAATTTGTATAAAACAGTTCATTAATCCAATCATGCAAAAATTAGTATAAAAGCTTTTTTATTATATTCATGAAATTACATATTCTAGTATAGTGTTTTAAAAAGTATTAATTATGCAAATTTACTATTTCATGATCACAATATGACTATGAATTGACAGTAAGTAACAGTTTTGATAGACAGGGCATAAGAAGAAAGCAATGTGCAACAATGAACATCTTTCGTTTCTTATATCTGCTCTTTGCAACAACCCCGGCAGGGCCTAACCGTTAATGTTCTAACATGTGTATCTCAGTAGTAAACTTTGACCTGCAATTTACAACTGGTCTTGAATAACAGCCATCAAAACCTTCACTTTTTTTCTTCCTGTGTTTCTTTTTTATTTTGACTTAAACATTTTAGGAAAATAATGTTGTTGAAATTAGATGCCAGTACCTATAATACTATGTCTTGTTTAGTTGGTGTATATTTTGTGAAATGTTGGAATGCTTCCTTGGAGTAACTTAGTATGTTTTTTCCCAGTCAGTGCTGGGGTCATTTAGCTCATCTGGGTGATCTTAAGTCTTTTAGGGATCGGCCATTATAACTCTTTGGGGGGGTGATCTGCATTGAATTGTATTTTTTTAATGCTGATAGAAACAAAGACAGAAAAGAAATGTAGTATATGAAAAAAACAATGATCATTAGAAAGAAGAGAGCCTAACAAAGTTTCACACCAACATCATCTTGCTATTGACAATTATTTTTCAATAATTTTTTAATCAAACCAACAGAATTTCCTGATGTCCACAGATCTTGATTAAAATTTAGGAGAAAAAATACATTTTTATTTTGTGAAAAGTGACAAAAGTTGGAAGGAGGTTTGGCCCAAATTGAGTCTTGTATATGTGATAACAGTTCACACAAGTTTCTATTCTATCATTAAATTTGCATGAAAATAAGAAAACATTGAATAGAATTCATTTCATTCAGACAACATTTGAGAATGGTCATCTATAGGATGTTTATTTCTATGAGAGCCAATTTAATTAATTTACCATAGGCCCTAAATATTCAGGATTTGTAAGGCCAGGTTTTTTTTATTCCTTGTTTCTCGAGTTTTTATAAGGCAATTTTTTTGAGGAGGGCGGGAAAAAAATTAAATTAATTTTTTTTTCCATTAGATTTCTGTGATTCTCAAAGAATTGTAAGTGGGATCATTGATCAGAGAGAAGAAATGTATTAAAATTGTATTCCATGTTTAACCTTGTTTCTCATCTGCGTGAGACTTCGGTACTTTGATCATGATACTCCCACGAAAATGCAACTTGCATTTGTTGTGCGGCGGGCGGTAAAAAAAATGAAGATAAAAATAATATTTTTTTAGCAATTTTTTGCGCTTACAAGTCGGCGGGCGCGAGAAATTACGCTGAAATAAAATTTTATTTTTATTTTATTTACAGCTCCTGTTCATTCGGCGAGTTCGCGAAACAAGGGATAATAAAAGTCTGGCCTAATTAAAATAAAATCATTTAAACAACATTAATGTCAATAAGTATTAAACAGTTACGTCATTTTGTTATCAGATGTATTTAAATCATGATCAAATCATTATATAATCATAAAAAAAGAACGCCTAACATAATATGACTCATTAAATTTTTCAAATTTAAATTTCTAGCTGCAAAATCTGAATACATACACCACAAATAGAAGGTATAGCATCATTTGTTGATTTGGCTAAAAAAAATAACTCGGCTGATAAATTTTATTTTTAAATTATTAATTTATGCCATTAAAAGAAATTTGAATACATGTGCCTAGATTGGGGTGTGGCTGTATGCAAATAATATGTAAATTATGAGATGGAGGATTCACGACCCACCTGATATGTTTATTTTTACCTATTCTATGTATGTCAAATAACGAATAGTGCTGGTTGGTCTATATCATTGACATGCTCCTGGTTGTATTCATGGCGTCATTGCTAAGCAATATGTTTTAAATTACAAGCGATAACCGACCAGCTACAGGTAGAATGTTTAACTAAAATATCCATTTTCATTGACAATATTATGACTATGTACATGACTGGAAACACTGGTAGGAAGACGCATTTTAACAATCTTTATCTATGTTTGTTTCACGATCTAGTTCGGTTGGTTTCGTATTTAATTGTTTTTGCTTTTAAATGGATTTTGTTGGAATTGCTATTTCGGGGGTGCAGTACTTTTGTAATTGCAATCAACACTTTTTTGAAGCAAATTAAATGACAAAATTTAATACCATTTTGGAGATTTATCGTATTAATCATATTATTAGAATACCAGACTGTTATTAATAATTTCAATGCTTTTAACCTATTGAGCACCCAAATCAACTTTATCACAAATTATAAATCTACATAATTTTTTTCAGAATGTTTGTACAGTTTTGATCAAGACAATAGCCAATTAGATGTTATGTCTATTTAGACCAAAATGAAATAACAAAAAACATAAAAACAAAGATTGTTACACAAATTATGACGCTCAAACGGTTAAATTAAGTCAACTCGAGCCATTATGTTTTTTTAATTTGTATGAAAATGTGAACATACAATATACTTTAATATATCTGTATAACATGTATAATTTATTTTGCAACGAAATCTGAAACTTTTGTCTATTATTCAAAGATTTTAAAACTCGTTTATATTTCTGCAATCATACTAGTTTTAAAATACTGTAAAATACTTTATTTTCGCTTGGAATTAATTTTCGCTATTTTTTCGCTGAACGAATGATTTTCGCTGAACGAACGAATGATATATTTTACATTCAACTTGTCAAAAATCAGTGAAAATAAATTCCATACAAAACACCAAAAAAAGACTTTTCAGCGAATATTAATTCCAGCTAAAATAAAGTATTTTACAGTACACAGTACATTGTTTTTCTTAAATGCTTCATAACATTAATACCATATTTGCTAAAATAGTAGCATGCATGTTTAGGTAAGAGATGAGATGTGTCTATGGCCCAACTAACTCGTATCTTGGATCATGTGCACTTTTATTTGAGGTGTGCTTCTAATAGAGCAAATACAATATACCTCTGTTGATGTGCTTCTAAAAGAGTAAATATGATATTTATTTACTGGTTTATTCACTTCTAATGCAGTAAATACGATATAAATGTACCTCTGTTGAATTGCTTCTAAAAGAGTAAATTCAATATAAATTTACCAGTATATGCACTTCTCATAGAGTAAATGCAGTATGTACAACCATAGCTGACATTTTATTTGTAGTTAGGCCACACTTTTTTTATGCCTTGCTTCTCGGGTTTTTATAAGACAATTTTTTTTGAGGAGGGCGGGAAAGAAATAAAATTAATTCTTTTTTTCCATTGGTACTTTGATCATGATACTCCCACGAAAATGCAACTTGGATTTGTTATGCGGCGGGCGGTAAAAAAATAAAGATAAAAATAATATTTTTTTAGCAATTTTTTGCTTACAAGTCAGCAGGCGCGAGAAATTACGCTGAAATGAAATTTTATTTTTATTTCATTTACAGCTCCTGTTCATTCGGCGGGTTCACGAAACAAGGGATAATAAAAGTCTGGTCTTACTAAAACAGTAAAGGCCACTTCACTGCATGATTGTACTCTTTCCTGTCTTGTATGTTTCACTGGAACCAGCTGTTTTAGCCATTGAGGTTTTATGAAAATATATATAAAATGTATCATGGCAATATGAGGTCAGACAGTAGATAGTGGATTCCTAGTCACTAGCAAGACTACTACATCGCGTGTTATGCTGTTGCTGCATTTATTGTTATATCTGAGAAAAAACATGAATAATTCATCATGTAACATGTGTACCTAATAATAGCCATCTGCATATTGGTACATTGTTGCCCTGCAGGTCATGTGACCTCTCGGTTATACATCACTTGTTGCTTACTGGGTTGTCTGGCAGCAGCCTGTTAAGGGCTAATGTCTGTGTGTAACATTATGACCAAGTACAATTAGTTGTAATGTACGTCGACCGTGGTTTACACCGTGCTTAGTTAATAATTTACCAGCAATTTGCAAACAAGGAGTATTAACGAGTGCCTGGTAAGTCCTCTCTTTGTCTGTTTGTACCTAATTCATATGTACAGCTTAGCCTAATTTTTTTTATTGTGGTGTTTTTGTTTAAAACTCATCTCAACTCGAATGCGTTGGAAATGATTTTATCAGTAATAGACTGTTTTTGTGTTTACCCTTCTATTGTCGTTGGGGTTTGTGAGATGAATTTTAATAAAGGTGATGGGTTTGTGTGGGAGGAATCGATGTGTTTGGTTTTTCACGGCTGTTTAAATGCCGACAATGACTACAATAGGTTCCCTGAGATGTCATTGTACATGTTTATTATTTGTACAATGTTCACGGTTGTATAGCAATGTCAGAATTGGTTAACATATGGCTTGCATGTTAATTTTGCAATGTGTAGTACTCTAAGGTACTCCAGCACCTATTATTGGTGCAGACATATCACCGTGGGTGGTGTCCACTATTCTCTCATTAATATCATCAGAAACCAGTATTCGTACTATTCCAGAATTTTCATGAATTATTATTCCTTTTCTGGTAGCATGATTTTTTTTAGCATACGTTGATGATATGTAGTAAAAATAGTGAAACTAGTTTATGATTACTACAATATTGATCAACACCGTTGTATCTTAAGGCTGTTAGCAAAAATAATTGCTGGGAATATGTAGAGATTAAATTGTTAAATATTACCATGTGTCAACTCAGCATCAGCAAACCAATAGCATTTCCTCGTACTAAATATATTTTTGACAATTTATGAAAAATTTCCAGTTGATTTGAGTGTGACATAATTCTAGCAGGAATTACAGTTATTAATATTGGTGTTAAAACAAATGTAACAGCTTGATAACAATTTTGATTAAAAAGAGAAAGAACTTGTGCTCCAAATTTGACAATTTGATTAAAAAAGAGAAGGAATGCGTTATGCTCCAAATTTGACAATTTTGATTATTAAAAACAGAGAAAGAATTTGTTGTACTCTAAAATTTAAATTTGGTTCTAAATATACTGTATTTAATGTTTGCAGGACAAACATACATGTATATATTTACATTATATATTTTAAATGTAAAAATACATTTGATGATATATGTTAAAGGCCAACCTGAAGTGGTCACCCTAGTGAGCTCCACTAATGTAAGCAGTATAAAAACCAAATACTAGTAATAAATAAAATTCAATTGAACTATGGTGGAGGCAGTAATGGTAGTTCTGCATCAATGGTTAAATTAGCTTGGCTGTATGATGTAAGTAGTGGATCGGAGGTAATAATGTCGTAGCACATCGCTATAAACAATGCTAACACCACCTGTAGGAACATCAGCTAGGCTCTACCTTTCTAATGTTAGTAGTAAAGACACTGAGATAGTAACTAACTGTTAAAACAGCAGCTGGGCTGTAGCATCATAAAGTTAGTAGTATAGTGCTTTCAGAAACACCATTTCAAAAATTTGTAGGTAGTTTATAACACATTTGTTAGATGTTTAATTCACATCTATTAAACTAAGACAACTGAACTGGATATAATAGATCATATGGTGTTTATTTTCGGCGATCGTTTGTTTTTGAAACGGCTTTTCTGAAACCCCTGTAGAGGTAGTAAGATTGCATCTACCTCGTTAAACTGAATGGTAAAATTAACGTTTGTTAGAACCCACTCTAGTTACAATATTTATTTGGTCAGTATTGCAATCGGTGATACAATGCCAGTTTTGCGAATATCAACTGATAATTGGTCAATATTGTGATACAATGCCAGTATCATGGTTATGCCATTCCACTGTGATAAATTAGTCAGTATTGTTACCCGGGTTACAATAACAATCTGGACAGTGTAGGTATACTACTGTGTGCCTCTACTGAATTGGTCAGTATTGTGGCCACTGTCAATCGGTCAGTGTCACAGTGTTTATATTTTGATCATCTATTCAAAACAATTGGTCCATTTCATTTTCATTATGCTGCAGTCAGCGTTATGTTGCAGTGACAATGATTATAAAATCCCATGTTGGTAACCATGGTGATGGGAATTACATTGCATGCTTGCTAAATCATTGTAGTTATTGGTAAATGAAAACGTTTTTAGAAAGAATAAAAAAACATCATTCAGATTTAGGAATTATTAATAGTAATTATGCTTTATATACATGTAATTACATCCAATGGGCAGAATACTTAAAATGGATTAATGGATATAAGTACTTGATAATGTAGCCATAATTGTTCATCCACACATTGTAAACATAAACAAACAAACAAAAATACTAGAAATCTCATGAGACCTCATTATGATGTTTCAGTGTTAGTATGTAGTTTAATTTTGGTGACTCTGTTTCATCAATAACTCGTGTGATTTTTTTTTTGTCTGGGTTCACAGCATGTAAATTAATTGCCCTAAACATGTGATAACATGTCTGTTTGATCTGTATTAGTGTTGAACATTCTGAGAAAATGCAACCTTCAAATTTGGAGATTGCAATCGTCACACAAAATGCTATGTAATAGATCCCACGTCATGGACTGCTCTATCTGCATCTCTGTATGTTCGTTTGTCGGTAGTATGTAACTCAATTTAACACTTTTATCATCTGAAAAGTTGTATTCAAAGTAGACTTTTCAATGAGAATTCAAGAACTACTTGTGACACACAGCTGTAAGACGTTAGAGTATAATTTCAGATATTGAATTTATTACAAGGCAATGTTTCAGTAGTTCGACTATGTTTTCACGGACTCTGATCCCTAGTTTGAGCTGTACACGCTAATCTCTAAACCATTCTGACCCCAAGAATTATGTATAAATATATATTATGTTAATTTTTATAACTCTAAAGGGTAGTGTTATCGTCAGCCATTTGCTTAACGATTCCTCGCGAGTCCACCGTATATGTTGCGTATTAAGTGTTGATTGGACCTTACCCTCATTAGTTATACCTGCCCTTTGTACACAATTAATGGGATTTGATAAAACTATCATATATGTCATATGCATTAAGCGTTAATTGGACCTTCAATGGTAAATCTTCCCTCAATACGGTATTACTGGGATGATATTGCGCAGTTCGTAAAATGGATAGTTGTTCTGTTTTATGTCTATTTAGCGCAGCCTTTGCGAGTGTAAGTAAATTTGATATTAATATTCACTTACTATGATACTGGGACTGTCTGGAAATGAAATACTTGCCACATAGTTACTTCTATCATCAAATGGCTTTATGTTAGATATGGATTTGTTGGATAACCAGTGGCTTCTGTTTCTTCATCCCAAATGGTGTTAAAAATGCAAATTGGATAATATTATGAAAAGTATCAACATGTGCCATAAATTTTTAATATTTTTCTATAATTTCTTTATTGATTTTGGTCCAAATTGTCATAAATATAATATTGGTTGCAGGTCTGGGATTTACATTTTTGAAAAAATTAGAGACAAAAATATAATACAGGTTTATTTTTAAAAGACAACAATGGTTGTCTTTGGAATCTTAAAGGGGCATTTAAGCCTATCTCACAACAAATTTAGTTTCTGGATTAAAATTACAATGGATAACAAAAGATAGATTAACATTGTAAATAACATAAACAATAGTGTCCCATGATTCTTTGGTGTAATCCCTGGGTTTGGAAGGTTCCTCTTTAAGATTTAATTTTTAGTCATTCCATGTTAGTTGGTCTAGATTAAAGTAGATTTGTATTCAGTGTTGTACATTCCAGCATTTGCGATTACTTATATATGGTGTTATAACTTGCATCATTCCCGAAATAGAAAAAAAACGTTTAATTCTCACTGCTGAGAATCTTCTCTGTATTGAAAAATTGTCTTTCACGAATTTAAAGCAGTTAGCTATCTATTAGGTCACCATGGAAACATGCGTTGAAGTATAATAGATCATCCTTGTACTTTGCAGGGAAATTCTAAAACATTGTTATAAAATGACATCCTGTCGTGTAGCATTTTCATTCTTAATCAATAATTTAAAACATCTCTCATTTTGTCATGGATTAAAAAAAATAGATTAATCATGTTTCAGTTACTATTTTAGTGCTTTTTCTGATTTTGCATATACTATTCTTATGCAAATGTATGTTCATATTTCTTTCATACGGTGTTGAAATCTGTCGTGACATGCTGGCAATTCATTGGATGTAATAGATACATTACTAAACATATTTTTCATTATCGGCTACAGGCAACAGTGGACCGTACCCTCTGCTAGGAATACGATAGAACGCTACCAACAGCAACCTAGAAGCATCACTGAATACGAACCCGGTAAATCCTCCCTGGCTGCCAAAGATAAAAGTGTAGTAAGTATTGTTTATGTTTGCTAGTATCAGTGATGTTTCACTCAGTTGTGGTGTATTGTTAATATATCACTCATGATCAATACATGTAGTATCAGTGATGTATCACTCAGCTGTGGTGTATTGTTAATATATCATTCGTGATCAATACATGTAGTATCAATGATGTATCACTCAGCTGTGGTGTATTGTTAATATATCACTCGTGATCAATACATGTAGTATCAGTGATGTATCACTCAGCTGTGGTGTATTGTTAATATATCACTCGTGATCAATACATGTAGTATCAATGATGTATCACTCAGCTGTGGTGTATTAGTAATATATCACTCGTGATCAATACATGTAGTATCAGTGATGTATCACTCAGCTGTGGTGTATTGTTAATATATCATTCGTGATCAATACATGTAGTATCAATGATGTATCACTCAGCTGTGGTTTATAGTGATATATCACTCATGATAAATACATGTAATATCAGTGATGTATCATTCAGCTGTGGTGTATTGTTAATATATCACTCATGATAAATACGTGTAATATCAGTGATGTATCACTCAGCTGTGGTGTATTGTTAATATATCACCAATGATAAATACATGCAGT